GTGTGCAGTCCCTTGTGTAATTTTGCCCACTGGTCCAAAGAGAGCACTTCTCTTAAAATGATCCCCTAGAGACTTCACTTGTGCAAAGCTTGCATTAGAGTGATCTCTACCCTGATTATATCAAAATGAAGCCGAAAGGGAGATGGAGGGATGAAGAGGTGGAACATAGAGGATTTTTAGGGCACTGAAACACTTCTGTACAATACTGTAATGGGGGATACATGTCATTATACATTTGTCCAAACCCATAGCATGTCCACCACGATGAGTGAACCATGATGTAAACTAGACTCTTCTGTTAATTATGATGTGTCAAGACAAGTTCATTGATTATAACAAATGTACCACTCAGGTTGGGGATATTGATAATAGGGGAGGCTGTGCATATGTAGGGGCAGTAGGATAAATGGAAATCTCTAACTTCTTCTCAGCTAAAACCTAAAACTGCTTAAACATACAGTCTAATTAAAATATATATATATATAGTAAAATGGATGAACCTTGAAGACACTGTGCGAAGTGATTTAAGCCAGTTATAAGATACAAATCTGTATGTCCCACTTACAGTCAGATGCATAGAGACAGAAAGTAGAATGGTGGGTTGCTGGGGCTGGAGGAAGGCGTGGAATGGAGACTTAGTGTTTAATGGGCACAGACAGTTTCTGTTTGGGAAAATGAAAAAGTTCTGGAGATGGATGGTGGTGATGGTTGCATGACAAGGTACTAATGCCACTGAACTGTGCACTTAAAAATGGTTAAAATGATACATTTTATGTATATTTTATCAGAATTTTAAAAAATGAAGCCAAGTGGGGTGAGAAGATAAACAGAAGTAGTTCAGTGAGTAGGATGGATGCCTTTTCCTGTCTGTTGGGGTCACGTGAAGACTGTAATAGGTATTTGATGTTTTGTTTCTTGCTACATAAACTCATCCCATTCCTCATTTTCTCAGGGAATAATGATAAGGGAAAAGGATCTCCAGCTCTGACTACAAAAAGGGCAGCAGAAACAATCTCACCTTTTTCTCAATGCATTTGTCACTTGCTCAGAGTTGACTCTTCCCAAAACAGGGCAACCAATCTAACTGTAAATGTCAGCATTTTTACATATAGTAAGAACTCAATAAATTATACCTGTGAAAATTGACACTTAGAAAATATGCATTTCATAAAGAAGCTTCTTTTTAACTCTTAAGTGAGATTCTACTGAGAGTGGCCAGGGGCCTTCCTGAAACACGGTATTCCCTGGGTTGTCTTTTACAGGTCTGCACTGCAAAGTAGGCAAAGAGGATAGAATATTATTTTGAGATTAAATTATTGTGGGGAAAACTGAAGTTCCTATGGCCAGGATCCTCACCTGAACCTAAACTACTTGATGATGTAACTGGCCTGCTGCTAGGCTACTGTTTCCACACCCATAGGCAATGAGCTATTATTGACTGAGACACTATATAAACAATCTGCCCAGTGCTCTGGGTGAGGCAGAGATGAAGGAGGATTAGAGATGTGTAGACTGTTGGATGCAGACATAATTCTAGTGCTCAACTCATCACAGGGAGAACAAAGCCAGGTAATAAATCCTTTTACCCCAAGAACATTCCACTGGTCTCGCTGATTCATAGTGAATGTGCTCAGGGCTGAAACCCATTGGCAAGACAATTATATTTCCCCAGTGTTTTCCCTCTTCCTGTTCCCATATTCAAGCAGGAAGTGGAGTGTATTCCTTGTTCAGTGAGGCAGAATATATGGCAGAATACTAACTTAATTTTGAAATTTAACTTTTTAATTCAAGCCTGTAATTTCTGAAATTTATATTTACAGACATTTAAAAATTGGGAAACCTCACATAAAAATTGGGGCTTTGGAGTTTTCTTCAAAAATGGGAACACAGCTGGAGCAACCTTGTTTGCCTACCTGACAACAGCTGGATCTGAGCTGCAGCTGTTGCATTTGCATTTAAAATGACATACTAATTAGGATAACATGAGCTGCAAGAACAAATACACTGAGAATTCAGTGGCATAACACAAAAGGTGTCCATATCTCACTTACGTGTAGTAAGCCCAGAGCAGGTGATTGTGAGACCAAGGCTCCTTCCTTTCCGAGTCTCCACTATCCCCTATTTAGGGCCTTGGAGTCTTGGATTTCAGTCTGTGGAATGGGAAAAAGGAAGGGTAGAAGCCCACCATTTCTTAACCACTTTGGTCTGAAAGGGACATCCTCTGCTCCATTCCATTGGTGGAACCCACTCACATGACCCAACTAGATGGTGGGGAGCTGGGAAATGTGAAGCCGGGTTAGGCAGCCACTTCTTGACAAGGACTCTAGTCCGTGGAAGGAGAAGCACCAATGTATGGTGGGCTTGTGCCACTCCACCAATCGGCATGTGCATTCTAATTAAGCAGTCTTTCACTACCTTTCCATCCCTGTGCTGCCCTGGCTTAATATGTTTGTGAGGAAGAAATGCAGAAAGAGATAGATTCTTTCCCTAGAAGGGAAGAGAAAGTCCCTTGGGCTGGGAAGAAGAGAGAGAGGTTAGCAGGTTTCTTGGGCAGAGGTCGATGTGCTTTATTTCCCTGTGATGTCATTTAGGAAACTGCCAGACTTGGGGAGGAATGACTGCATGCATGTCTTGGCAGATGGGATGATAGCCACCGCTATCCCACCCGAACTTCCCGTTTCCCTTGTGGCACAGAAGTGGTAGAGAGTTAATCCACTGAAGCAGACACAGCACCTGGAGACTAGAGACAACACAGCCACACTTTCTGGGGACAGAGGACCAAATGGATGTGTGCTTCCTTCTCTATCCTCACCATGGAACTGGGTCAGTTCTTGGGGTTAGAAACTCCCAAGGAGAAGGCTAACTTCCCCACTCCTTGGCAGATTAGCTGCTGGGGGTCTACAACTAAGTCATTAAATAATGGATAAGTGACAATTCATGCACACCTGAGTTTATGGACTGAGCTTTTTATACCTTCTACTCTACTGGAAATTTTCTAAATTTAGAAGGTGCTGGGGTAGGCAGTGACCTTGGTCATTTCAGCTTTTCTAGAAACTTTGCTGTTCAATTCCCAACCCAGCAGTGACTTCACCCCTAGCCCCATCCCACCCATATACTCATCACAAACAAAGGCCAAACGCTGCCAGTTTACAAGCCTTTTCAAACTGGCAAAGGCAATCCTGCAGCTGGGGTTACTGAAAGCCCCAGGACAGGCACTGGGGTGTATCCCTGGAGCATCACTTCTGCTCAAAGATTTGGGAAAATACGTTTATATTACAAGGAACTAGGTTACATTACTGAGTAGAAGGCAAAATTTGCATTAAAAAATGATGAAATTCCAGACTTCAAAGAAACTTCTTTCTTGTAGGGAAGGGGGCTCTCCTGTTTCAGAAACCTATGTGGGTCTCCACTGGAGTTCTTTCGAGAACACTTTTGTGGAAAAGTTTCAGCAGTGCTGGCCCTGCACCCAGCCTGGCTGTGGGCCTCTCCTGGCTTGGGCTGCTGCTCCCTAGGGGTATCGCGTTCCTGTTAATATTTCCTCACGTTTCTGAACTCACAGCTTGTCAGCACTGGTGCAACCTGAGAGTGAATGCCAGGTTCCAGCTCACTCTTTTCACAGGCTGAAATTGAGACAGGGACCATGGACTTAGAGTAGGGTGACGGCCTCCGGAAAAAACAAAGCAAGATAATTCACTGTGACATTTGCTTTGGCCTGCTGGGGAACCCAGTTAATTTTTCTGACTTTACCCAGGGGCTGCTTTTCCTCCTCCATCCCTAATCAAGTGTTTGCAACATGGGCAAGTTAACAAGCAAGCCCAAATCAATGTAGTAAAAATAGGAAGGATTCCATCTTGAAGATAAGATGGCATTTTAAAACCCAATTAGTTAAAAAAAGTAAGTTTCTTAACATACTCTTTAATAGACAGTAACTCAGCCCACCTTGGGAGCAAAGCAGGCAGTCTTGATTGATATCCTCCCAGACCAGGAATCTGCTATCCTGGGAGGAAATCTGAGCAGTAAATTTCTTGTAAATAGAATGACTAATAAGAAACTTAATGTCTCTTCAAAGATAAACATTTTGGGACTATCTGGCAAGTCTGCATCCCTAGACCTTTGTCTCTCAACCGCCTATAAATCCCCTATACAACGCCCCACCACGGACTCTCTTGACCCCTCCTGGTGTGAGCCAGGAACTCTGTCCTCTCGCTTTATCTTTAAATAAAAGCCTCTACCTTCCTCTCCTACCTTGAGTGTTTGCGAAGTTTTGACTCCGCTAACAAGAACCCCGGCATCAATGGAGAATGAGCAACTTTAAAAGGACTTGTGTGGGGCTTTGCAGGCTTCCTAGGCCAGCACTCCTCCCAGCGTCCTTGGCTGCTGCATCCTTCAATCCTGCAAGAACTCAGCCCCTGTGCACGTGGGAAGATCCTCATCCCCCACGCCCATTCTTCACCCTGAGTCTCTGTGCCTGGGAGCCCTACCTCTCCACTGGAGTATCTGGCACCGGGGGTATTTGTGGGGGGGTGCAGAAAAGTTGGGTGAATAAAAGACTGCTAGTTCCAAATCAAATGCATCGGAGCCCAGCCCCAGATGGAAGCGGCGTAGGAAAAATGGTTGTAAGTGGCCGGTGGGGCAGGGGGCGGTTATTAAGCATCTCCCGCGCAGCCAAGAAAGAGGGGCTGGGGTCAGAGTTGAAGGATTGGAACCGGCCTGACCTAGTGCGCGGAAGCACAAATGCGAGTTGGCAGGAAAAGCCTCTTTATGCCGCCCACAATCCTTGGGCTGGCGCGCAGCCGAGCCTTCTGGCTGGTGCAATCACCCGCGCGCCTTGCATTGATCAAAAAGGGAGTTGAAACTGTAAACGCGAGGAGGAGCAACTGCTCCCGGGCTTCGGCTGGTGAGTTCGGCCAATGGGGATGCGATTCCGTCACGCAAGCCAATCATCACAGGGTCTGCAACAGCACGGGCCAATGGGGGCGCCGGCTGTGCGTCCGAGAAAGCGCAGGGTCGCCGCCTGCAGCAGACAAGCGTTGCCCAAGCATTTAGTCCTCTCTTGCAGGCTCGCTACGCGCTCTGCAGTCTCGTCACCCGCTCTGCCGCATCATGGACGCCACGAGGCAAGTGGTCAACTTCGGGCCTGGGCCGGCCAAGCTGCCGCGTTCGGTGAGTTCCCGGAAGCGTGTGCCGGTGCATCTCTGCGCGGCCGTGAGTGCTGTCCGGCCGGGGGCACGCATGCATATGGCTCGGATCCCTTTTCCCCACCCCAAGTCTAGAGCGCTCTGCATCAGCGTGCACACCCAGTTCAGGGTCTCTCAAAGGTGGGCTTCTGGAAGAATGCACGCGGGGGGGGGGGCGGGGGAAGCTCTGCGAGGCGTGCCTGTGCAGCAGCCGCTGACACTGACTGCCAGTGCGCGGCGTGCACGCCTCTGCCTGCTTGTGCATCTCACCGGCTGACTCGAGGGCTGTGCCTTCTCCCAGGCCGGCGTGGGGCGCGGCGTAAAAGAGAAAGTTCCGCATCTCTGCGTTCTCACACCGCAGTGCTGCGAGCCAGTGTTAAGGGCATGCGTGAATGGACAACGAATGAACGGTGAATGGGGATTGCGTTAACTGGAGGGGATTGCACACTGGCAGCTCGCGTGTGACCCCTTGTAAGCAGAGTTTGGTTGAGCCAGTGCTTGGGAACATTGCTCTTCGGAAATGCAAATTTGAAAGCCTTTTGTCTAGACTTTCCCTCTATGTCTCCGAGAGAACCTATCTTTCCTAAAGCCTTTTTAAATCGGCTTGTCCCCTAAAAGCATTTGAGTATTCAAAGTCTGGTAGACATTTGGGCTGCCAGCCCAGTTCGCTCCTCTGTTCAAGGGCGAAAGCAATGACTGAATTCTCAGCCTGGCCACACAGGAGCTCTCAAGTGCAAGAGGAGCTCACTCCCTGCTTTCCCAATTCCCAGCCGACTTCCAGCTCCTCCCTCCCCCCTCCGTTAATTCGCCCCCTCCCACTGTGTGAAGAAGGCAAAGTTTCTGTTGTGCCTTACAACTCATTGATAAGTTGCCACCGTTGCCGTTCTATTTTAGTTTTTCTAACCAGGATGACTCCCGTAATAGGTTGTAGTAACATGGGGCATAGCCAAATGCTTTACAATGATCTATTGTTGAACAGAGTAGAAATCTCCCTGGGACAGAGCCGCCTCTGTGTGGTGGTAAGAACAGAGAAACTCAGAATTTTAAGAGGGGAAAGGACATGTTGCTTTTCTAGGGGCAGTGCTCACAGCAGCCTGAGAGATCAGGGCTTTTTTTTCCCCTTAGTGATTGCCATCGGTTTTAGGTGAGATTCCCTGCTACAGCGCCGCAAACTTTTCTGGTACCCTCCTCATTTCTTCCTCCTGTTTCAGAGTCTTCTGAATATTTTTCCGTGTGTAATTTGTCATGCATTTTTTATTAAAGTAGTTATCAGTAATGCAATTGTCTATTATTTATTTTCCTAGCAGGATTTATGTCCTCATGCTCCCTAACTTGGGGGGTGCGGCAGATGTGTGTCTTACTGGTTTAGTTGAATTAATAAGGATTATGAAAGTCAAACTTCTTTTGACTGTAACCACAATGAAAAATATTTTACAAATGTCCAAGTACATGCACATAATTCTAATGGAAACAAAAAGCCTTATGTATTTAGCCAGTTAACTACAACATAATTTGGTCTTCTGTTCCACTCTAGTGTGTTCTATTTCATTAAGAAAATGAGTTGTGACCCACAAAAGTGATTGCATTCTGCACTTTGAAAAAAATGAACTCTGCTGGATTAAAGGGGTGTGCCTTTGGGGTAGAAGACTCTAATGATTTTAGTTCTAAAGTTTTACAGGTATCTTTTGAAGGAATACTACCTATATAAGAGAAATACTGTCTAAACAGAAGTTGAAAGATGATTCTGTCACAGACGGATGTTTCTGTTTACTAAAGGATTCACTGTAGTTTGTTTGATCAGCCAGTGCTAAGAAGTATCCAATGGTTTGCAAAACAATGACAAATTCTTGAAGTCCCTTGTCAAGGGAACCTATTTGTGGTCTAATTCTTTATGGTTAAAATGTTTTTCCAAACAAGTTGCTATCCAGTTTAGGTTGTTTTATGACCTCTTTAGCCTGTATCTTTTAAGGGAAACTTTTCTGATGGCAGAATGCTTCTATAGAGGGCTTATCTTACCTATTGTGTGTCCATTTTTAGAGCTCTTCTTTTTTTCTTTTTTTACTTTACGGCAATTCTCACATACACAAAGGTAGAGAGGGAATTATATAATGAAATCCATGGACCTTCTGCGAGTTTTAACAACTATGGACATTTTGCCAATTGTGTTTTCAGCACCTGCTCCCCCACACACTTTTTTTCCCCCCTGTTCCTCCGTTATTTTGAAGGCAATGCCATATATCACATCATTTCACTCTTAACACTTTAGCATGCACCTCTGATAAGGGCTTTTCTATATTTCTTCCTTAAAATAAAAAAAAAGGTGTTTCCTTTCAGTTTAGTAATTTGCATTTTGCTTGGTCTTTGGGGAAAAAAACAGGCTGCTCCCTAACAAGCTGTGTTTTGCTAGGGGAGGTGAGCCTTGGGCACCTCCCCCCACCCGTAGCTTCCTGGCACTGTGGGACTGACTGCTGATTGGCTGTAAACTGGGTCCCACCTGTCCAGCTGTCCCTGTAAGGTGGAATGTGGTTATGAGACTGCAGTGATCTTCCAAGATGCACTTAAGGGACTGGCCGGGGGCATACAGCTAAGTCACTCTCTGAGCCTCAGCTGCTAACTGGGGATGAGAGTATCACCCTCCTTGTGGCTCTGGTATTTGGGAGAGAGAACAGAGTATCAGTACCCTCAGGATGAATCGTAATTCATCACAGGTGTTTCCTAATTCCTGCCCACCCTACACATCCCAGTCCATCAAGTTAGACCAAAAAGAGAAAACTGAGTTATCTGTGTAATCTGGGCTTAATTGTTTTTTTTTATTGTTCCCTGAACCCAGAGCTTTATGCATTTTGTATTTTTGCTTTCAGAGAGCGACACAGGCAAATGTGGAGGGGACATTTTCCTAGGGAATCAGTTTTTCCCAAAGGTCTTATGTTGACAGTCAAAGTTTGTCATCAGTAAAATTTTATACTTGATCTTTGTTTTAAAGTCCAAGTGAATTTTTATATCTAAGTAAAGTCATGCCTTTGGAAAAACTATTTGAGTTGCATAATTTTGCACTCAACTTGTGTGTAAATTGCATCAGTGGGGCTCTGTGGGAACGATGGGAGGAAGGGGATTGGTTGTTAGGGGACAGGAGCTTCCAGGCCTTGCGTCCATGCCTCCCTCCTTCCGCCCCACTTTGATGTCCAGAGCCAGAGGGAGTTGTGCACAGAATACTGAAATCCTCTTGTTTTCTTTTCTTTTTTTCTAGGTGTTGTTAGAGATACAAAAAGAATTATTAGACTACAAAGGAATTGGGATTAGTGTTCTTGGTAAGATTTACTTTTGGATTCTGTGACTGTCCAGGTTTCAAAGGGAACAAATTTAAATGCATCGTCAAGCCTATAGGCCTTTGTAGATGTACTTTTAAATTTTAATAAATTGTGTTGCATGTTTGATGGAAGTAATTTTGACATCAACACAACTGCTGGCTAAGGGATTGTATGTGTCATCTTACTGTTTGATAATTGGTTTTTGCTCTTCACAGGATCTCAGATCAGAAAATATTGTGCATTGGCGTAGCAGTACCCCAAACCCTTATAATATTGCTTCATATTCATTTTACTGTTTTTACTGGGCTTAAAATGAACTTATTTAGAAGTTAAAAGCACACAAGCCTTTCATGAAAATCCTGCACATTAATAATTTCATTAGGTTTCTCTCCCCAATATTATTAGGGAAGAGGACTTTGAGTTCTAGAATGTACTTTCTTTATTTAATTTTCGTTTTTTGTTTTCCTTTATTGGTGGTTCTAAAGGCTGCATAGGATTTAGAGGCCGTATGATAAACTATGCTTACCGCTACTACATTTTGTTCCTGTGGTTTTGGGACATGCATGTAGGTTTCTTTGATGTGAGCATAGAGGAGAGTAGTGTGCTGTTGTCCTAAAGGGTAGCCTTTGCACCTCAATTCCTGTTTGTGAGAAAGATGTGAGAAATCACAGAAACCAAAGGATGCGTTAGTAAATGACTCATCTGATGAGTGGGCCTCTTGAAAAATCATTCTGCTGTGACTCTAAGGCTATGATGTTTGCAATATGAAAATCGATTTGGATTTTCCCCTAGACTCAGCCTTGTCCTGCAATTTGAATGTAAAATAACTGAAATAGTCACCTTTACTATTTCATTTACAAATCTTGTAATTACTTCTAAAGTTACTTCTGTTCATTTGGTTTTGAAGTGGAACTTTTTGTGTTGTTTACTTTTGCTTCCGCAGAAATGAGCCACAGGTCGTCGGATTTCGCTAAGATTATTAACAGCACAGAGCATCTCATGCGGGAATTGTTGTAAGTTTAGAATTTTAAAGAGCAAGTTGCATTACTTTCGTTTGATAATTCATACACCTGTGTGTCTGTTACAGTATTTACTATATTCTGTGTATGTTCAGAATATTCCATAACTTTAAATAATCTTTTTTGCTTCTCCTAAATTCACTAAATGTGTGTGTGGTGCTGCTTACTTGTTCCCCATCCCATGTTTGTGATTTTGTTTTTTGTGATGTTTCTAAAGATTTGAAATCATTATATATAGGAAAGATTCTTTACCACTGTGAAAATTGAACTGGCTTAAAGAGTATTTAAATGACAAAGAAATGGTCATATTTGACAGCAGTAAATCATGCTCTAGGTCACTGGTCCTCGTGCACTTGCCAGAATCACCTGATTGGTGGGGATGGACTAAAAAATTCAAGTGCTGGGCCTTACCCAGACGAGCTGAATCAGAATCACTGCAGAAACCTAATTTTTAGTGGGCTCTTTGGGTAATTTTAATTCTGAACTCTGGGCATTGCTGCGCAAATGAACTCTCTCCTAGGTTATTTCCCCTGCTTTTCTTAGCCAGAGGAAAACTTATTCTGAAATAAACTGCTGTTTAGAAGAGAGCTTTTATATATTACATAAAATATTCACATAAACACTTAATTTTTTTCTGCTCACAAAATTAATGCATGTCCATGGGAGAAAGTTTAGAAAAAACAATCTCACTAATTAAACTGGAGTTATCTGTAACCCTACCCGTTAGAGGTAATTCTTGTTAATGGTTTAGATTCCATCCTTGTAATATTTTATTCACAAAATTGTAATTGTACCATCTATTTCACCTTTCTTTTTCAATTGCCTTGGTAAAATGCTTCAGATGAGGCAGGCTGGTGACATTTTAGTGAGGAGCCCCAGAAGCCCATTGCAGTGGGAGTGTCCAGAACTGGTAATGGTCTGCTTGGCTTTGCATGCTGGGTCTGCTTGTCAGGCCCTGTGTCACCTTCATGGAACTACCCTGTTCTTCATGGAGCAGGATGTTGGAACTTTGGCCTAGATGTGGCATTTGACCTACATGGCTGTGAACCTCTTAGGATTGAACTCTCAGTTCAATTCATGGGCCTATCCTTACTTCTAACCAACATCCTACTTTGTACGCTTGTGCCTGGGCCTCTTTCTGGGGTCCTTCCATCCAGCTATTGTCCTTCCTGCCAGGCACCAGAATAACATAAACCTGGAACCCTGGCTCTGGCTGCCAGTCCTCCCAGCTGCTGAGAACTGCATGGTTAGAGCCCCTGAAGACCTGCCTGCGTGCTTTGCTATCCTACTGAGCATTGGATGATACTGGTAGGCAGGGGTCAGGACAAAATTCTGCATACCACCCATTTCCCCAGGGCCCCGCCATGACGCCCTGCCCTTTGGTACTTAGGCCTCTGGGCCGGAGCTCTGTCCTTGGCCTTCTGCCTTCTGTACACCTGTTCCCAAGCTCTGATCTCACTCAGCGGCTTGGGTCCTGTTTCCATAGCCTGGTCCCTCTGGAGCAGGCCTTACCCTACTGCCTGTAGCCATTCAAAATATCATCTTAATTTCTCACGCTGGAGGAAAAATTTTTGCCATTCATGCCAATGTATATCAGGTATGTGATAACATACTTAGGCCTGAAATATTACCAAAGTTCCTTCTCCAGAGTCCAGTTTGCTCATTGGAAGGACCAGCACAGAGATACTTCTAGGACTTTTGGTTGCAAGTAACAGAAGCCCAACTCTTGGCTTAAGTGGAAAAGGGGATTTATTACTTTACAGAATGGAAAAGTGCAGGAGTGATTTGGGAGCTCAGACGCTGGGAACATCTTTTTCTCCATCCCTTTGCTTTGCCAGGTGGCCACCAGTGGTTACAAGATTAGCTTCTTCAAGTTTATTGTTTTCCTCAATAGAAACAGCTCCTCTTTCCCAGAAGTTTTTAGAGGTCTCAGAACCTAACCCCGTTGGCCAGCTTGGGTCACATGATCCTCCCCCGGAGCTGGGGTTGGCTACCCTTGAACCATGTGGCTGAGAGTGACCTTGGGACAATTCCTTAAAGGACTGGCAGGGTGTTACTAGCTTCTGTCCAAAGAGTAACCATAGGCTTCTGCCATAGAGCCCAATGAATAGTTGTCCAAGGAGTGAATGGACAAATGACTGGATTAGGGAAAGCAAAGAATAGTGGGACTTGCCATATTTCTTATAGTATATCCACCTTCAGTAAAGTGCTGGTAGAGCATCACTCATTCTCCATCTTTGACTCTGTGAGTCTCTTATTTACTGTCACTGTGCTTCTGCCCAGAACTGTTCCAGACAACTACAAAGTGATTTTTGTGCAAGGAGGCGGGTCTGGCCAGTTCAGTGCTGTCCCCTTAAACCTGATTGGCCTAAAAGCCGGAAGGTGTGCTGACTATGTGGTGACAGGAGCTTGGTCAGCCAAGGCTGCAGAAGAAGCCAAGAAGTTTGGGACTGTGAATGTTGTTCACCCTAAACTTGGAAGTTACACGAGTAAGTGGGGGCTGAGCTGGATAGGGGCATCCCGACTGGGGGATGGTCCTGCCTCAGATGTCAGGGTCCCCCTGCCCAGGGTGCTCTGCAGTTGTCTTTAATTCTTTCCTCCCCTTGTCAGTAGCTAGTTTGATACTATTTAGATTGGATAGCTATACTAATTTAGATTACTAACTGGCTGGAAAGCCCACGGGCCAGTTGGCTTTAGGTATGGCTTGATCAAGGGTCCCAGCAATGTCTCTAGATCCTGGTGTGTCTCCTTGTGTCCTTTGTAGGGGTTCCACAGTCAGGAAAGCTGTCCCCTCCTTTTTAGAACATGGTTGCAGCTGCTCCTGACTTTATATTCTCCCAAGTTCCCATGCCTTTGCTCCAAGCATTCCCAGCAACAGTGTCCATCTCATGTGTCCCATCCCAGATCAGTCATGTGGCCTCTGCCTTTGGGGCTGCAGGTGGGGTGGGCTGGAACTCCATGGGCTGAGCATGGGGGCAGCTAGAGCCCCAAGAGGAAACTGTCTGTGGACATAGGATGGGTGGGTCCTGGGTAACAAGGAAACCCCCAAATATCCACCATGCCATTCTGGGAAATTACCTGTCCCTGGGAATGGTCAAGAGGGTGGAGGTGATGATCCTTTTAGGATGATGTTTGTGGTGATTATAATGCAGGGTGGATCAGGAGCTTTCACCTGTGGGTGCTTTGGAAGTAATCAGTCTTTCCCTGCTAGGGGAGGTGTGGCATTCCTTACCTCCTGTCTACATAAAGAAAGAGGGTAGTAAGAGTGTGGGGTCTCCAACTTTCCTTCTGTGATAGAAATCCCAGATCCAAGCACCTGGAACCTCAGCCCAGATGCCTCCTATGTGTATTACTGTGCCAACGAGACTGTGCATGGAGTGGAGTTTGACTTCATCCCTGACGTCAAGGGAGCAGTGCTGGTTTGTGACATGTCCTCCAACTTTCTATCCAAGCCAGTGGATGTTTCTAAGGTACTGTGTGAAGTGGGTGGGGTGGGAGGACCCCCAGCATCTCCGTTTCTTTCAGAGCATTTTAATACTAGAACAAGGGAAGGCCGTGAGAGTCATGGGCCAGCGGAGTAGAGATCCTGAAGGGGGGGCAACTCTCTGAGCTGGCTGACCGTTGCTTGTTTATTATGAATGTTTAAGTCAGGACATCCTGAGCCCTGTGTTAATGATTGCCTCGCAGGGCCACACTCGAGTCCTTGGGGAATTTAGCCTGCCTTTGAGAGTGGCTCTCAGAAATTGTTTTTTTGTCAATACATTGGGAGTGGCTTGCAGTCTTCAAGGGAAGATCAGATTTATACAAGCTCAGGGGAGCTTTGAAGGAAGGAGCCCCGCCTGGCCTGTGTCCACTTCAACTCCAATAGCATTAACAGATGGGACATACAGACTCTCCAAGTGGCACACCTAGGCGGACATTGTACCCGGGTGCGTGCAACAAGGGGCTGTGATACCTGTAAAGCATTTTAAAACAAAGCGACTAAATGGTAGTCTGCCTTTAAAAAAAAAAAATTGTGGTAAATACAACTAACATAAAATTCACCATTTTAACCATTTTTAAGTGTACAGATGAGCGACATTGAATACATTCAGAGTGTTGTGCAGTCATCACCACCACCTATCTCCAGAACTTTTTATCTTCCCAATCTGAAACTCTATGCCAATTAAACAGTAGCTCCCCAGTCCTCCCCATCCCCTGGCAACCAGCATTTTCTATGAATCAGACTACTCTAGGCCTCATGTAAGTGGAATCATACACTCATTGTCCTTTTGTGTCAAGTTTATTTGCCTTCGTATAATGTCCTCAAGGTTTATCTATATGGTGGCGTGTGTCTTTTTAAGACTGAACAATATTTCATTGTGTGGTTAGACCACACTGTGGTTTGGAGTCTGCTGCTTATGATCAGTCCCCACACAATGGCAGTTCTAAACAATGTCAACTATGAAATACTCCTCCCTGCTGGACCACACTGGCCCCCTCTGCCACTGGGATACCATTTGCTTTTCTGAAAGGTTTTAGGGAGACAGTGGGAGAGGGTTCTATATCTTACATGACGAAATTCCCTGAAGTACCTTTAAACATGTTTTCTAGAATTTCTTCTCTTAGGCAGATTGTCTTACTATTTCTCAGCATCTTCTGATTGTCTCTTTATACAAATACAAATGGATTAAAAATTCTTGTTTCTTTTGGTTACCGAGGACAGTTTGCAGCCCCATTTTGAATGCTGGTTTGGGTGGAGAAAGGAGGTATACAGGTGAATGTGAACAAGTATAAAATTAACCATAGTGGGCTTGGGTTGGGCCCCTTACTGGTGAGAAGCACCAGGCAGGTATGTAATCTGCAGGCCCCTGAACTTGCGAGTATTGATTTGCTGCCTTAGGTGGAGATTCTTTTAGAAAGTACACTCTGAGCAGGATTAAAATACAATCACTTCCTTGTACTTTGGAAAGAGGTTAGGAAGTTTGAATGCATTTATGAAAAATGACCAAGTGTGTGTAAAGTAGTACGTTTTCTCTTTTTCAGTTTGGAGTGATTTTCGCTGGTGCTCAGAAGAATATTGGCTCTGCAGGGGTCACGGTGGTGATCATCCGTGATGACCTGCTGGGCTTTGCCCTCAGGGAGTGCCCCTCGGTCTTGGAATACAAAGTGCAGGCCGGACACAACTCCCTGTACAACACGCCTCCATGCTTCAGGTAACTCCGGGATGCAGCTTGTGGACCGGGTGGGGGCAGGTCTCACTAATTCCCATCCTACTTTCAGCTCTTAAAAGTAGAGCATGTTTTCACGAACTGGTAACCTAGCTGTCCTGATAACCCATCCGGAGAATTCTGATAGGAATCTCTGCCCAGCTCCCTCCCTCATTACCCTCTATGTACTGTTTGATCAGTCTTTCCCCCCCTTTCTTTCTTGGGGTGGTGTTTTGTTTGCTTTTGCTAGCCTTGGTGGTTCACCATTAACCCAAAACTCTATGGAGATGAAGGGCCAATGCCTGTATCTCAAACAACTGGTCAACTTCAGAGAAGGACTTACAAAGGCCAGGCCTCCCCAGCTTTCTTTTCTTTCCTTGTGGGGCCTGCATGAAACTGGCTGCCTGCCAGTGAACGAACATCTTGGCTTGGAACAAACACCTTCCTGGTTTTTTCCCCAATCTGCAGGGGTCCCGTTAGCTGAGCCAAGTGAGAAAAGTGCCTTGTAGCATTTTTAGGGAGCAAGGCTGCCCTGCCCCGTGATCTTTTAACTTGCAGACTCAGGTGTTTTGTGAAAATCTTTGTGGCACCTAGGATTTAACAATTGCCAGGGGAGATTTTACTACTTACTAGTTGCATGACCTTTGGTAAGTCACTTAACCTATCTGTGCAGCAGGTTCCTCAAGGAATACTAATAGGGCCCTCCTCATTGGGTTGCTGTGAGGATTAAATGAGTCGCTATGTATATATGTATGTATATATGTACTATATATACATATAATGCACTTAGTGTTGACATTTTATTTATAATTGCTAGCTGCTATAGAATTATTGTTTCTGTTTTTGTTAGTTCCCAGAGCCTTAGCAGTAGAAGGAAGAGCCAGAGTTTACAAATCTTATCTTTCCAGAGCTGCTATGATCCTTTTAATCCTTCCAGGCATCCTAGAAAGTAGGTACCCTTATTATTCCATTTTGCAAGTGAAGAAGCTGAGGCCATATTTACAGGAAGTGGCATAGCTGGGATTTGAACCCAGGCAGCCTGGCTCCAGAGCCTGGGTGTGTGCACCGGACTTTGGTGCTTTTCATAAGCAAAATTTCAGTGTGTTTCATTTACGTTTGAAGGATTACATCTTAGGAGAATAGATCACTGTTGAAGTCCAGCACTTCTACTCCTGGACTTTTCCATGATGGGTGGAAGTCCTCTTACAAGAGCGTCTAAAAGAGTAAGGTCTGGTGGGTGCAGGCAGAGGGTCCACTGGGCTTGGGACTTTGTCAGAGCTCTCTCTGCCAGCTGCTGCCTGGAGAAAATTTCTTCCACATAATTTACCATGGGAAGGGAAGGTGTTTTTTTCAAAGGTAGCATTCTGGTGGAAACCTCCACCGGACTTCCGCAAGGCTCTCAAGAGGCAGAGCAGCTCACCCTTTGTGGGGGCGGGGCTGACTCTCTCTCTCACCTGCCCATCTTCCCTCTGGGGTTCTTGGCAGTGAAAAGTACAGCGCTCACTGGCCACCTGGGCCCGCTGAGTGGGAAAGGCACAGACAGGGACCTTCATGGGCAGGGCCCCTGGGGAAGGGGCTTGGGTGCCAGGCGGCACAGTGGAAGGAGGTGGCAGGAGGGGTTCTCCCTTACCTGTTGGAAGGTGGAGCTAGGGCCTGGCTCGTAGTCAGGTGATTCTTACCTGGCAAGGCAAAGGCCACCAGGGGCTCCAGGAAGTGAGAAGGTGGGAGGAGGCAGGGAGAGTACTGTCCCCAAAATATGAGGCCAGCAGGTTCTGGTAAGAGCACAGCCTGGAGGAGCAAGGGGAGCTGTCCCACCCATTGTCACCTTTCCAAGGAGTTCTGTGAAGCAAATTTTTAGTAATGTAATGACTACACTACTATGCTATTATTGATATGAAAGTTAAAAAATAAGTGGAAATGCTGAGAAAGTAGTTCAGTCTGTCTAATAAATATGATGAAATCATAGGAGATAAAAATGTCAGGAGTCAGCGCTAGAGATAGAAAGTCCTCTTTTTCAGTGACTCTCCTAGGGCCGCTCTGCTCCCAGTCCCTGTGCTGACCTTGGGCCCAGGACTGAGCAGTTAGGTCAGCTGCTCCCCTGGGTGGTGGTGGGAGTCACAGGATGGCCACGGCGGGAAGGCAGGAGCATCCTCCCAGAGCTTTCCTGCCAGAGGAGAGGGCTGAGCCTTCTAGAACCAAGGGCAGAGAAGGGGCCAAGTTTCTTCCCCAGGCAGATTAGAATAATGGTAACTGAGACCATTTTGGGGCAGGTCTCAGGGGCAAATACATTGTTTATAATATTTGATTAGAATCATGTAAATAGAAGAGAGACTGGGGAAATGTATTCTGCCCCAAGATACCACCCCTTGGAAGTTGCTTTGTTTCCTTTTTACCCCAAAAGAAGAGAAAAGGAAGAAAGTAAAGTCTGTACAATTGAGCAAGTACACTAAATCTATGATTTGAGGAATTTCGTGTTCACAGTACTTAAACATTCAAGATTAGAGAATTATAGTTCCCAGTGAGAGCAAGCTCCAAGTAGACATACGAAAATTTGTGCAAAACACCCTCCCCAGTCCTTGGATGTAAGAAGGTAAGGCACCCAGAACACTTTGGAACTTCATGTCACATAGCATAGTCCTTGAAAGATCCCAAGTTTGAAAAAAACGCCCCCTAACCTTCCTTTCTTTATTTTTTTCTTTTTAAAATCAGAGTCAATGACCATAGGCCCTGGGCAGTTCGTTTGAACTATGCTGGATAACTGGCTTTCAAATAGTTGCTTGTAGCCCTGAGCAGTGAATTGCGGTGGAGAAGGACCACATGGTTGTTCTGTTTAACCCTTTAGGAGAACACACAAAGTCCAATTAATAGACAAACATAAAGGTGCCTAAACTTCCCTTCTATCCCAATGAAAAAGCTCTTACTTACCATGTCCAACTGAACCCATAAGTATAAATTTGCTTTAGCTGCAGTGGGAGGTAAAGTAACTGGTAAGAACCAAAATAAGCCCGCTAACCCAGGAGATCTTTCTTATCAGAATGAGAGAGTGGCCCTGCCCAGGGGGCTTAGCCTGGCCCACCATCAACTGCAGAAGCAAATGAGCTTCTGGAGCTTCTTCAGAACAGCCAGAGAGATTTTTCTGGGGACTGCCTGGTGTGCAGACAGTATTTTGTGTTGCTCTGAAAAATTAATGCATGCTCTTAGCAAAGATTTCTGAAGTGAGCAGAGCCTGTCAGGATAACCACTGTTAACTGCTTGCTATCTCCTAACAGAGCATGCATAAATATACACAGACATATATTTATTTCATTATGTGAATGGAACTTTATCATAAATATGTTATGTGAATTTCTTTTTTCCACCAACAATATATTATGAACACTGCCATGTCAACTCAAATGCCTGCCTTTTTTTTTTTTTAAATTGCTGTTCCATAGGACGGATGTGCTGTGATTTATTTAGTCATTTAACATGCAGGTTTAGAAGGTAAACCTATGCTGTGTGCTGCTGGTGATATTTTAGAAGCGAAGGCATAAATCAGTTCAAAGTGGAGGGGAGAATTGAGACCACGTTGCAAGACTGTATAAGCATTTAGGGCCCCTGTATTTTGAAGATTTTGGAGTGTCTGGGGGTAGAAGCATGAATAAATAATGACTTGGAAGCCACAGCAGAGTCATAAGGGCAGACATCCTCAAACTCCAGGGATGGCTCCAGTCTCCAGGATGGCCTGCTTCCTTCTGAGCCGCCTACCTCATGCTGAGCTTTGTCGACCTAGGCTAAAGGTGCTGGCTCTGGGCAGCATGTAAGATGGGTGGGGTTTCTGCTATTCTGCCTGCTCAAACCTCATTAAGTTTAGTTGCAGAGTGTGGGCAGTGAGTCTGAGCCTGACGGCCCCCAAGAAGATGGTGCGTCAGCTGGAACTATGTGCTGGGCCTGGGCCTTTGCTGCATCCTTGGATTTGATGAGTGACATAGCAGCCCAGGACCCTGGGATAATAGCTGCAGGTGAACACAAAGCCTGGCCTCCGGGAAGTACTGTCACTGAACAGGCATGAGGTGGCACGGCTTGGGTGGTATGACTGGGTGTTTCTGTGGTTCGTGGGGAGTGAGTGGGCAGTATCTGGAACACACACATCCACACACGTGCATGTGTGTTGGCACAACCCCAGAGCCACTGCACTTGGCAGCTGTGCCTCTGTGGCTTGGTGCCACCCTGACAGCCCCACTAACACAGGCATAGTGGTTGGGGGTCCTGGAGCCCCTGGGAAACCAAAGGCTTTGCTATTGTGAGAAGATCTTGGGTTTTGGAGCCTGAAAAACTGGAGCTGAAATCCTAGTGAATGGTAAAAGCTGTGGGAAGTATAGGTAAAAAGAAGGCTCTGGGAGTGCAGGAAGTGAGGGGTTACTGGGGGGTGGGGAGGGGGAGAAGTGGGGGCAACAGGGGAGTGGTCCTGAGGGTGCTTGCTGAGAGCTCAGATGTCAGCAGGCAGAGAGAGTTCAGTGTGTGGTCCAGGTGGCTGGAAGAGTTTGCATTAGGGTTTGGGCTGGACTGGTAGGAACTGATGTGACCTCCAGTGAGGAGTCTGATCAAACTTCCTTTCTTAATGGCCCTCAGGCTCCTAGGATTGAGTTGATCCTGGTTCCTTACCCCATGACACGCTCTCACTGGTCCTTAGCCCACACATGGCCTGCTTTCTCCTTGCCTCTATCTAAGGACATGTGTAAGTCTGTTCTAGTACAGCCTAAACAGCAGCTTGTTTGAATGTCTTTCCCCTTTTGCAAAACTGAACTGAATGGATTTTTTTTTTAATCTTTATTTTAGCATCTATGTCATGGGCTTGGTCTTGGAGTGGATTAAGAACAATGGTGGTGCAGCAGCCATGGAGAAGCTTAGCTCCATCAAATCGCAAATGATTTATGATATTATTGATAATTCTCAAGGATTCTATGTGTAAGTCAATGGATTTTATCTTATATTTTGTCTCTTGTGAATTTTAAAATGTGCGTATATTGGATACCTTTGAAAAATGGACACACTCACCTTTCTCTGAGACACTGAAGTGCCCACAATGCTAAGTGTGGTCCTGGGCCCCAGGAGCACAAGCTTCTCTTCTGTATCTTAGCCACAGGAATCCCAGGCTTTGGCACCTGATTCCCAGTGGATGGTGACATATCCCTGGAGAAAAAAACACATATTTGCTGGGAGCTCTCAACTGTGTGTAGGGACTCTGCTGGAGACCCTTGTTACAAACACTACTCCTGGCCCCTCCTCCGGGTTATCTACCCTTTTAGGAAAGTTCACTGCCTCCATTATTATAGGATAGATGTTGACCTGCAGTGTAATGGGACTGACTGGTATGAGTTGACTCCTACATACTTTTGTGACCAGTTGATTCATGAGCGTGTGTTGCTGGTGCCTGGGAGGGGTACAGAAAACATACGGGCCTTCCATTAGTCTCTTGGGGCTAGCGCCACTAACCTTGTGGCTTAAAACAACAGAGATTTATTTTCAGTGTCCTGGAGGTCAGAAGTTCAAAATCAGGATGTCAACAAGGCTTTGCTCCCTCCAGAGACTCTAGGGGAATGATCCTGCCTTTCCTCTTCCAGCTTTTGGTGGTTCCAGGACTTCCCGGGTTGTGGCCGCACCACCCCAGTCTCTCTGCCTTCTCATGCCGCCTCCGTGGGTGTCTTCTCTTCTGCTCTTACAAGCTGCTCATTGGATTTAGGACCTGCCCAGATAGTCTAGGATGATCTGTCTCATCTAGACTCTTCATTTAATTACATCTGCAAACACCCTTTTCCCATATAGGTCACAGTCACAAGTTCTGGGGATTAGGGCATGGATATACCTTTTTGGGGGTCAACATTCAACCCGCCACTACTGAAGTCTCACCAAAATAGTGAATGTGAAGCACCTGGTACAGCACCTGGCACACAAGGACCTTAACAGATGATGTTTGCATTTGCTTTTCCCTCAAAGTGTAGGCAAGTGTACAAGGGCCAGACTTGACGCTGTGCATTTGTGCACATGGGCACACACGTGTGTGTGGTTGTGGTTCATATATACTTACAGATATATAAGCACTTAACACTCATTTACCAAGCCTAGACCCCCTTCTTTGTGTCATTATTTGGGGTGCAGTCTGTTGTAACAAAATATCTGGCTGATAGTAGCATGGGAATTTACACTCCTCTTTGAGAACTCAGTGGGCCAAATGGGAAAACAAAAGAATGCATCGATCTTAACTTGTAACACATCTCTGTAACCACCCAGGGGTGGGAAGTGGAGAAGTACTTTTTGGGCAGCTAGGATAATGCAGTATGCTTCTGTTACCTCTGTCCTTAAAATTTTAAATGCTTGTTGCCTGTTCCTGTACATTCTTGGCATGCCATGATGCTCCAGCCACAGGCCCCATGGGAGTTGGCTCTGTCTCGATGCCTTGGCCCTTGGGTCTCTATGTGCCATCTGGGAAGGGTACCCACTGTGTATTTCTGCCTGCTCTGTGGTTCTGTGCAAGAGAGGCATGTGCAGGCAGGGGCCCTGTCCTGGGGAATCTTCCACCCTGGACCCAGATGTGTGGATCTTCCGCCCTGGAAGTGAGGATACACTGGCAGCACTTACTGGAAAATGGATTTTATCTTATATTTTGTCTCTTGTGAATTTTAAAATGTGCGTATATTGGATACCTTTGAAAAATGGACACACTCACCTTTCTCTGAGACACTGAAGTGCCCACAATGCTAAGTGTGGTCCTGGGCCCCAGGAGCAGAAGCTTCTCTTCTGTATCTTAGCCACAGGAATCCCAGGCTTTGGCACCTGATTCCCAGTGGATGGTGACATATCCCTGGAGAAAAAAACACATATTTGCTGGGAGCTCTCAACTGTGTGTAGGGACTCTGCTGGAGACCCTTGTTACAAACACTACTCCTGGCCCCTCCTCCGGGTTATCTACCCTTTTAGGAAAGTTCACTGCCTCCATTATTATAGGATAGATGTTGACCTGCAGTGTAATGGGACTGACTGGTATGAGTTGACTCCTACATACTTTTGTGACCAGTTGATTCATGAGCGTGTGTTGCTGGTGCCTGGGAGGGGTACAGAAAACATACGGGCCTTCCATTAGTCTCTTGGGGCTAGCGCCACTAACCTTGTGGCTTAAAACAACAGAGATTTATTTTCAGTGTCCTGGAGGTCAGAAGTTCAAAATCAGGATGTCAACAAGGCTTTGCTCCCTCCAGAGACTCTAGGGGAATGATCCTGCCTTTCCTCTTCCAGCTTTTGGTGGTTCCAGGACTTCCCGGGTTGTGGCCGCACCACCCCAGTCTCTCTGCCTTCTCATGCCGCCTCCGTGGGTGTCTTCTCTTCTGCTCTTACAAGCTGCTCATTGGATTTAGGACCTGCCCAGATAGTCTAGGATGATCTGTCTCATCTAGACTCTTCATTTAATTACATCTGCAAACACCCTTTTCCCATATAGGTCACAGTCACAAGTTCTGGGGATTAGGGCATGGATATACCTTTTTGGGGGTCAACATTCAACCCGCCACTACTGAAGTCTCACCAAAATAGTGAATGTGAAGCACCTGGTACAGCACCTGGCACACAAGGACCTTAACAGATGATGTTTGCATTTGCTTTTCCCTCAAAGTGTAGGCAAGTGTACAAGGGCCAGACTTGACGCTGTGCATTTGTGCACATGGGCACACACGTGTGTGTGGTTGTGGTTCATATATACTTACAGATATATAAGCACTTAACACTCATTTACCAAGCCTAGACCCCCTTCTTTGTGTCATTATTTGGGGTGCAGTCTGTTGTAACAAAATATCTGGCTGATAGTAGCATGGGAATTTACACTCCTCTTTGAGAACTCAGTGGGCCAAATGGGAAAACAAAAGAATGCATCGATCTTAACTTGTAACACATCTCTGTAACCACCCAGGGGTGGGAAGTGGAGAAGTACTTTTTGGGCAGCTAGGATAATGCAGTATGCTTCTGTTACCTCTGTCCTTAAAATTTTAAATGCTTGTTGCCTGTTCCTGTACATTCTTGGCATGCCATGATGCTCCAGCCACAGGCCCCATGGGAGTTGGCTCTGTCTCGATGCCTTGGCCCTTGGGTCTCTATGTGCCATCTGGGAAGGGTACCCACTGTGTATTTCTGCCTGCTCTGTGGTTCTGTGCAAGAGAGGCATGTGCAGGCAGGGGCCCTGTCCTGGGGAATCTTCCACCCTGGACCCAGATGTGTGGATCTTCCGCCCTGGAAGTGAGGATACACTGGCAGCACTTACTGGAACCTTTGTAATATGTGCCATTAGCAATCGATGGTCCAAGGAGTTCATAGGCAAGGGCTAAGTAATGAGGTGTGAGTTTGGAGCAGAAACATGCTGTCTTGCTTGGAGGTGAAGGGAGGGTTTTTGGACGAGCTCTTGAGCCTTGGGTGTGAGTAGACTTAGGCAAAGGAGATCAGAGGTACTTGCAGGAATTTTTTGGATGGCAGGGAATGGCCCCCATAAAGGTACTGAGGGAAGAAAATACAGTGTGTTTGGGGAGCAGAGTGGACTACCTGGAGGGGATGGCTTGTACTGGGATTGGAAGGAAAGTCTGGAAAGGTCCAAAGACACGTTTTGTCTACCCATCCATCCATCTCTCCACCCATTCACCCATCCATCCATCCATCCATCCATCCATCCATCCATCCATCCATCCATCCATCCACCCACCCATCCATTCATCTACCCATCCATCCATCCACCCACCCATCCATCCACCCACCCACCCATCCATCCATCTACCCATCCATCCATCCATCCATCCATCCACCCACCCATTCATCCATCCACCCACCCATCCACCCATCCAGTAAATGGCTCCTGAACACCCACTCAGCGCTGGCCTTTTTCTTGACTCCCAGACACCCTATTCCTCTAGAATACCCAGAAGAATAAGCCATCTTTCCTGACTCAGAGAGTGCTCAGAACCTGAATGTGAGTGGAAGCACTTGGCAGCTCTTGTGGAGGGAAAACCAAATTTCCTATTAGCTTTTGGCTCCATCTATTTCTCAGGAGATGTGTAGGCACAAAATGGGAGGACAGAGAATAATGATGCTTCTGGAAAAAAATCCAGGCAATTAGAAACAGAATGAAGCATAGGAGGGACACTGGTCACCCAAGACTCATTCACTTCGGAGTCTCCTACACCCAGCACTTGCACCCCCCTTCAGAATAAACCTCTCTCTGGGAACTCCTACCCAGCCCCTGGGCCGCCTGCCTAGAGGGGGTCAACGGGCTCCTGACATTCCTGTGGGACCCTGTCACTGTGTCCAGAGCAGGCTCTCGCTTCCCCCTCAGTGTTTACAGCTGGACCCTCACTAGCAGTTCCTGTACTCACTTGGGTTTTCAGGAAGCTCTTCACTTTTCTTTCAAACTGTGGAACTATGGTGTCTTGCTGATGGGTTTCAGCCCCAGGCAAGTTCGCTATGAATTCAATGTGACCAAAGAAAATGACAATAAAATGGTCTTGGGTTATACCCAACTTTATTTCCACAATGGCAGGTCAATCACCAGAATCCTGTTCACTCAAAGCGAGTCTGCATGCAGCAAGCCAGTCTCTGCCCCTGGGTCCCTCTGCCTGCATAGCTGTCCTCTGGGCCTCTCTGTCCGCACACCTGTCTTCTGGGCCTCTCTGCCTGCACAGCTGTCCTCTGGGCCTTCCTGTCTGCACAGTCGTCCCACACAGCTGTTCTCTGGGCCTCTGTCCTTGGCGCTGCCACCACTCCAGTCTCATCTCTGCTCTCCTGCAGCCTTGCAGCCATGCCACTGTATCGCGCAGAGCACACTGGGTGGAGCTCTTTATATAGTCAATAGCAATGTATTGCCCACGTATGTGTAGTGAGCTAGCCAACCATGGCCAGGTGAAAATCCTGGCCCACGGGAACTCTCATTTTATCCATATATGACCCCAATGGGGAGGTGAGCAATTTTCAAGAAGAATCCCGAGTACCTAGAATTAGAATTTGCCATTTGCCACCACATTTTCTCCTCGTTTGTGTCCCCATTTGGTGCCCCCTGACTCGTAAGGCAGCCCCTTTATTCAACACAGTCCTGGGTGGTCTGCCGGGGGTTGTACCAGCCCAGCCAGTGATCCCGGCAGGGAACTCTGAGACTAGATAAGAACTGTGCAGGTGCTTGGGTTCATTCCACAGTCTGCTGCCCACAGGCTGCCGGCTGACCCTGTGTTGAGCCCACTTAGGCAGTAGAGCAATTTGCATTTAGAAGGCTCGTTTGAAACTTACTGGAATGTGGTCTTGGGAAAGGGACCTAACTGCCTTAAACCCACTTTCCTCATATGGATGTAATAGTGGTACATACTTCTTATGACTGTCATGGGGATTAAATGAAAATGCATGTGAATTAAGAGTATATAATATGGGGGTTAAGAACATGGGCTCTGGTGCTGATTAATTTGTATAAAGCACTACGAACACTACTTGGCATATAGGGGGCCTTCCTTAAGAGTTAATTTTTAATATTTTATTATGGAAGCACTTAGGATGCCCCTGACCCAGAGTGCTTAATACATATTAGATATTAATTTAAATATTTTAAAGATGTCCAAGTGATAGAGTGCATATCCAGATCTGAGGTCTCCTTTCTCACCACCTTCACGTGGGAACCAGGCTTTAGGAAAGAGGGAAGCATGTGATGGCTTTTATGATAATGCTAAAATAAAACCAAGTGGGCAGAGCCCTAGGCTTTACAGATATTAACCCTTTTATTGTCCTCACAACCCTGTGAGGCAGACATTAAACCTATTTTCCAGAGTTGCAAACAGGTTAATGAGGCAGCTGGGCAGTGGGATCAGGATCTGAATATGGGGAAGGTCTTGGGGGTATGGAGGTGCTGGTTTCAGGATCTTTAATTACCATACTGAGGAAACAATAAAAATCACAGGTTGAAGACAATGTGACTTTATTCCAAATTCGGGAATCAATGAAAAATCTTAGATAGGATCAAATTCAAAATTGTGATCAGTCACAGCTAAATATGTAAAAGTCATTGGCTTTCCTGTATCCAGAAATAACAACACAAAATATAAGGAAAGAAGATCCCATTCATAATGGCTATGAGAACTATGAAATATCTGGAAGTACATTGAGATGTTTGTCTGGGAAAGTTAATGCAAAAGCTGAAAACTTTTAAGAAGTTTAACATTAACATACAATCTATTAAAACACTGCAAAGCCGTGTTGATATAATGGGGTGCTGGCCTAGGGACAGATAGTAGATCAGTGGAACAGTAGAGAAGTCCAGAAGCAGGCCCGTGTTTACTTAAGAATTGGTAGATCTTCACATTTCACTCTTGATTTTTGTAACTGTGTAGAAATGGATTTTTTCATTAAAAGAAATCAGGCAGTAAGGAGAGGCCAAGTGACTGTATTTTGTGGGCTGCTTTCCTTCAGGATGCTGTCCTTACTCCTCATCCCCTTTGTTTCTGACTATCCTAGAGAGGATTTCACTGAATGATAGTCTTGTGCCCTCCTAATCCTCAGCACCTTTGTGAGCTGGTGTCTCTCACTGACGCAGTGCCTTCCCCCGTGCACACTGCTCCTCCAATACCTTGCGGGGCCGGGAAGTTCTGGTGTGTCTCAGCAGGTATTCTGGAACACTAGTCCCAGAGATGCAAAGGATTTTTCAGTCATACATATTTGGGGGAAAACTGGTCCCTATATGAATTATTATCCTGGGCGTTCAAAATTCACATGAGCTTCTGAGAGTCTCCAGGAGTCAGGAAACTTATTTAGCCCTGTTAATGCAGGACTTCCTAAACCTCTGTGGCCATGGAACTGCTTTTCCAGTGATCACCATGAACACCTTCAACATCAGCCTCTACCACAGATGTAGGAAGAAGCCGTGCTCAGATTTCCTCCTTAAATCTTTGTAGTCCTTGGTTTACCTGGCTGGTTACATGCCGTCGGGACCCACGTTATCCTCTGTCAGCTTTGGCAACTTCTCCTCTCCGCTCCTCAATGCATTTAGGCAACAGATCCTGCCTTTGGAATTTAGTGAGAACTCCCGAGGTTATAAATGGGGGAGTGGTGGCCAAGTACAGCCCAGAGTGGAGCTTGGTGTGGCTCACACAGTTGAGCCACTGTTAGGATATGGGAAGATCTTTAAAAATCCAAATTTCTTGTTCGGTAATCCATGTGGCTCTGAAAGCGGAAAAAAGAAACTTTAGAAGGGGCATGTGTTTCCAGAACAAAAGGAAAGCGTGTTTCTCTGTGGTAGTAAAGAATAGGTGCTTGCATTTAGTATGAAACAGGGAGTTGGTGCTCGGTGTATCCCACTGGGCCTGGTCTAACTTATGTCACACCTGGGCTGTGATGGCCTTTGAGTTTGCCACTGTTGCTTGAAGCTCCCCAGTGTCCCTGCCTTGGTCACAGGCTCTAATAAGTTTTGACCAAGAAAGTTCTTTGAAAGCTTTTTCTAGCAGGTCACTCCTCTTCTCTGTTGGCATTGTTATTTTTAAAAAATGCAGAACTCATACTGTGCAAACCTGATTGCTCCTCATTGCTCAAGGACCCTGTCCAGTTCCCTACAGAGCACATCTGCAGGGACCTCCACAGTCTAGGCCCTGCCCAGGCTGGGAAACCCACCCCCCAGCTTCTTCAGAGCGCTGGTCTCCCTGCCTTTATAGATGCAGCTCTGCCAGAGCGTCCCACTGGTTTTTCTGTCCTAACCACTCCCATGGGCCTAAGGCCTTTTCCCCTTTTCTGGGCAGAATTCCTTGCTGGGCTCTGTCTTCCACTGTCCTTTGCTATTACAGCACTTCTCGTGTGGAATTTTAATTTCTTTACACAACACTCTCAATAGTTTGGGAGCAGTTAATTCCCTTTAGTCTTTTATTTCCCCTGCCTCAGCCTCAAGCCAGAGACACACTCTTGGGCACTGCATAAATATTTGTTTCATGCCAGTGTAATCTTCAGTAGCTAAATTTTATGACATCCTTGCTGTCATTTTATCTATTTTTATGATGGGATGGGTAAAGTTGGGGTGGGGATGAACTGTAAATACAGATTCTTAATTTTTCCTCCTTAAAAATTTTTTTTTCTTAAATTACATGTGCCTTTTTGCTGCTCCTGCTGTAATTGGACCCTGATGTTAGGAGTCTGAGGCAGCAGACTATCAAAAGGAGTAGCCACTAAATTTTTAATTTAAATGTCGACCATGAAAACTCCCACCTTGTGGAAAGGGCGGGGGTGGGGGTGGGTGGGACTGGAATTCAGGCCCAAAGCCTATTACCAGATACTTGGTCTCCCTTCCTGCACCTCTTCTGCCTGTAGATGTCCACTTGACTCCTAGTACCTTTAACTGGAATTGCGTATGTGCCTTCAGGGGAGAGCATAACTTTTAATGGGTGCTTGCGAGCTCACATTGCTTTTATTTGCTGTTTAATTTTAGTGGCTCTCACCCTGTAGAAGTCTAAGAATAAAACAGGATGTGCTTGAGAAAATGGAGGAGGACCATTACACATTCCCTTTTATTCTAGACTAGCACATCAGCTTCTGCCTGTTGTCTCCTTTGGTTGTCACTGGAAAATAATTTTGGATGCTTGTTTTCCAAAGCAGAAACTGAAGGAAAAATACTAACCAACCCTGGATAAAAATTAACACATAATTCACTTCTAAGTATCTGAATGAGCCCTCCAGGTGCTGGAAATAAAAAGATGAATTTATTGATTTTAACTAATTCGTACATAGTAAATATATTCCAAACGCTGCTCTAAATTGCATCAGTTGTCTGTTTTGAATCACAGAACCTGCTAAGACAGTGACTTTCAATGACGACCATTTTCTTTGCTCATGATTTTTTGGGCTCAGCTGGGTGTTTCTGTTGCTTTTCTCACCTGGGATTGCTTATTCAACCAGAGTTCTCTGGTGATTCACCTGCAGCCAGTGGGCCACCGTGGTCTCACTCACATGTATGGCAGCTGGCACCAGCTGTTGGCGAGGGTTTTATTTCCAGCAGGCTAGCCTGAGCTTGCTACAGGGTACCAGTGTTTTCGGAGGACAGTACAGAAGCTGTGTGCCCCTGGAGACCTAGGTTTCAAAGTTGTACAGGATCACTTCTGTTGCATATCTTGGTCAAAGCAAGTTACAAGGCCAGCCCAGATTCAAGAGGTAGGACTAGACCCCACCTGTTGCTGCAGTTAAAATGTAGCCATTTAAAATATACCACAAAAATTCTATGCTTCTCTTAATCCTCACATCAACCTTAAGAGTTAGGTTCTATTATTTTGCCCTCTATTCAATAGATGAACAAAGTAAGGCACAACAGAGAGGTTTAGTAATATGCTCAAGGTCACACAGCTTGGGACAATACAGTGTGACAAGTGCTTTGAAAGTTGCTGCTCATTATTTTTTTAAGTCTTTCAGCCACTGTTAGGACCAACATATTTTTTTTCCTGCAGCCTTGTAGAGAAAGTGTCCCTTGCATTGCTGTGTGGTTGCCATGTGTTAGAAGCTTCATATATTTGTACCACAGAATTGTCACAACTCCTCTGAAATGAAGGTGGTATTATTATTCCCAGGATTTAGATGAGGAGACTGGGCCTATGGAGATGGAATTTAAATACAAGTCATACAAGAGAATGCTAATTCAAAGTTCCATATACAAGAGTGGTCTTGTATATGGCCTGGCCTCTTAGGCTTATGGTTCTTAGAACCTGGCATGCTTTCATCCAGACATGTATGCCTAGAGTTCCTGCTGCTACTAAGTAAATTAGAAATGTCCTGTGAAGTTTTTTTTTTAAATGTCCTGTCTGCATCTAGAAAATGTTTTTAGGAATTGTTCTGTTGATTTGTTAATAGCAGTCACCCATTTCAGAAAAGTAGCTGGAATAATAAACATGTTTTTCAGATGCCCAGTGGATCCCCAGAATAGAAGCAAGATGAATATTCCATTCCGTATTGGCAATGCCAAAGGAGACGATGCTTTAGAAAAACGATTTCTTGATAAAGCCCTTGAACTCAATATGATCTCCTTGAAAGGGCATAGGTGAGTACATATCCAATCCAGAAGCTCATCAGAGAATTGTTTTAGTTTTTCAAATGCAGAACGAAATACTAGGAGCCTGCCCAGGCTGGAGTAGCGGATATTGTAACTTGTTGGGAAAAACCACCTGTCACAGGGGTAACCTCTTCTGTTGCTTTTAGAATCCTTAGCATGATTCCCTGGCTGAGGATGGTGGAGCCACATCTTCCAGGGCCTTTTGTCAAAATTACCCTTGAAAATGGCTTCAGTTACTCATAGTACAGAGGTCGCAATCCCACCTCTGGTGAGGCCGGCACTCCCCTCTTCAGTGTAAGAACAGATCGAGGTTGCTTCAGCTGCACATCCAATTGGAGTAGTTAATCCTGCATATGCTGAAAAATATGTGTCCTCACCACGTGGGATATGAGATGCCTACCCTGCAGTGGTTGCTGGCTCCCTGCTCCCTGTACAACAGGCTTGTCAAATAGTTGAGTTAATCTAGTTTTGTGTGTGCACGATGGATCTTCAGTGCATTAGGGAAAGTTTTCTGATAAGATATCTGAAGCTACTGGCCACCTGTGGGGGTTTTCAGATGGGAGGTTGGACATCGTGGCCTCAGGCTCTGTGACTCTTAGGAGCAGGTGACTGGAAAGAGGGTCTTCTTGATGCTAAATAAGAATGCTTTTGTTCTTAAGGGCTTGCATCTTTGGTCTTTCTAGGTCTGTGGGAGGCATGCGGGCCTCTCTGTATAATGCGGTCACCATTGAAGATGTTCAGAAGCTGGCAGCCTTCATGAAGAACTTTTTAGAGATGCATCAGCTATGAACATACTCTAACCAATGTAAACTCTGCCTTTGAACAATGTTCAAAAGTTGAAATAACTTGGGGATGGCTATAAAAACCTAACCCGATATTTTTCTTGAATGAACATGCATATTATAGGTTCTTTTTGCAGAGAACAGCATCAAAACACCCACAGCTTTATAGAGCTGGTGTGACTTAATAGACACCTTAATTCAGACTTGGACTGAAGCATTAAAAAAAAAATCTTCCTTTGGCTTTTCTAATGAGTTCCAGCTTAGGTTGTCTTTGCTGCTGCTTTTTCTAGCTAGATCTCAGTATTTGAACTTGTCTGTGAACTTCATTATGCAAATTGCAGTTAATTGTTCCTGGAGATACATACGTACACACACAGCACAGAAGGTGGGTGGGAACCTCTAGGTGCTGAATCTTGATCCTTTACAAAATGACAGCCATGGTGGCCCCTGGGTTCCACAGCTGTTAAATCAGGTCATGTGGTGAGTGTTTAGGAGTCCCAGGCTTAATCTTCCTGTAAACTGTTACTCTCATAAAGAGATAAAAGTGACATACTATCTGTTTATATAGCAAGGTTTTTAATACCAAATAGTTTATAGCTCTATGCAATCTATTTCTAATAATACAGTTCTCAGTGATACATGTAGAGACTTTTTGAAAATGTGTCAGGAGCCTTGACCTTGTGTATTACACTCAGAACAGTTATCCCTCTACTCCCCCTTCCCTTTTTAAGCTGCTTCACAAGAGGTTCCCTGATTCATTTGTACTTTCCTTTCAGTGGATAGAAGAGAAGGTTGGTAGTTCTTTAGCTTTTAGTTATATTGTTAAACTAAAACTTTGTTAAGCTCCCCTGTCATTTTTTTTGCATGACTCTTACTTGTGTTGGATCAGGGATGCTGTGAGCTCCAGAAGGTCTTTGCTGAAGAGTCTTTCCTCCGATTGTTTGTCCATTGTCAGTATTTTATGTTGACTATGTGAAGAACATTAAAGTCCTAAAACATCTAGGCCTTTGTCAGTGAATTTTTTCACCTGCTTTTTAGGCAGATTGTTCTTTTAAAAACTTTATGATGGGAAAACTTGAATCTAAAAATAGCAACTGGATAAGGATAATTTAGTTCAACTAAAAGTGTGTCTTGAGTCCCATGCATCCATTTAAAAAAAAAATGATTCAGCACATAGCCTGTAGCTTTCCATTGGTGTTTGGCATGGATGTTATCAACACGCCATCTTAAAACACAGCTCATGGTATAAAGTTCTGTGAACTCTGTCCCACTTAGGCCAGAAACATGCCCACAGGGCAGTTCTGAGCCATCTTCATGTCTCCCTGGGCTGTGTAGTGAGGGCTGTACTGCATCAGCTCTGTACCAGTCAGTTGGCTTTTTGGGTTCCTGTGGTCAGAGCTAAGCCTCCCTCCCCAGTCTTGGTTCTCTCATCTGTAAAAAGGAGGATGTTTAAGAGCTTAAAACAGGGGCTCAGTGCAGAATGTGAAGAATAACCACTATAAATATTTAAATAGCCAAAGCTAACCAATCTGTGGAGACTAGGTGTTTAGTAGTGCTCAGAGTCGACCTCGCCTTCTTCCTCATCCTTTAATATGATGTTTGCAAGGTCTGTGGTTTGTGCCAGCCCCAGATCTCTTGAATCTCCATGTATTTCCATTCCCATTGCCTCAGCCAGCTCTGATGTCAGCCCTTAGTGGTATTTCAGTAGTCTCATCTGCCCCTACCCACTCTTGCATGCATAGCCAGTCGGACTGTTACTTCCCCTGGTGTTCCTCCTTGATACATAAAGAAGTCTTGGCTTTTTAGGTGACAGTCACAGTTTTTTAGCATCGGGCCTGGCGTCTTAGGCTTATGGTTCTTAGAACCTGGCATGCTTTCATCCAGACATGTATGCCTAGAGTTCCTGCTGCTACACGGCAAAACCAATCTTCAAGGTGCCTGCCAACGTCCTAACCTCATTTGTGTCTCCTTAATTGGAAAAACATTCTTTTTTTTTTTGTCCTTATAAGGGTCACCCTTTTATCCCATCACACACCTCTACTGTTTTTTACTCTTCTGAGGTGTATGCTTCTCTGTCTCCCCACAAGAGCAGTGTAGGAGGAATCGCGTTTCCTCACCTCTGGCACCTGCATTGCTCTTAGGTGCTTAACAGTCATCTGCCTAATGAATGAAAAGTCTTCTGTTTGTCAAGTTGGTCTTCCTGAGTTGCACAAACTGATTTTGGAGTAAAGGCAGAGTTACAATCTCGCCTATGTGAATTTTTTATTTTCAAAAGCTTAGTATACAATACAATTTTATTTCCCTCTAAAGTGATCAAATACAATCTTGAGTGGGGAAATTTAAAATCTTGGAGTGCTCCCAGACTGACCTTATACCCCGAACGCTTTTGGAAAAGGGTCAACAGCTTCATTTGTACAGGTGCAAAGGGTAGTCACTGCTGTCTAGACAGGCTCTGGAGCAGATGGCTGGAGGATAGTCATGGCATGAAAACCTTGACCTTTGTATGTCTCGAGTGAATGAACTGATGCTAATTTGCTGACCATGCAGAGACAGGTGGAAGGGGAGATAAGGAGGCCGGCTCCTGGCTCAGCAGACTGGGGAGCCAGGACCGGCTGGTCTTTCCTTTAAGATTAAAAACAAAGTAGGCAAGACAAGTGTTTTACAGGGCTTGGGGAATCTGCATAAGGCACGGTGCTTCATTTCCTTCAGATCATCCAAATTGTACTTCTCACAAACTGAATTTGAAGTTTTATTTTTCTCTTTCAAAATTCCCGGCCATACGTAATTGTGCTAATGCAATCCAAGTGAGAAAAACACAAGTATATTCCCATGTTCCTTATGTTTACCTCCATACGCGCTTTGTCCCAACACTGGTTCTGTTCTTTGCACATGACACAACTTGTGTTCTGTCCCTAAGTCTTCATTTCCCTACTAGTCTATGTTTATCTAAATATCTACTGCTGTCTCATCACAACTAAGCTGCTGCTGGCAGATTTGACAAGCTCTCAGATGAACGATGTGATGTAACAAATAATTATACCCGTCTCCCTCCATTTAGGGCTGAAGGAGCTGCTGAGACCCATAACATGGACAGGACCCACTGATAGATTAGATGTCCAATTCTGCCACAGGCAGGGTTGGCCTTGTATCACTCCATGATTAATGTTTGTTGTGTTGCATTTTTCGGAAGGAAAATACAATGAGGAAGAATTTTCTCACATTTGATCTGAATGAACATAATTAGTGAAATGCTACTGGGTCTGCAAAGAAATCAATCACCTTAATTGGAAAGAAGTTCCTTGCCTCTGTCTGTAATTGGACTCTTGGTAATTTAAAATCCGACTCCATGACAGTTTGTGATAAATTGGCTCCTTTTCGGCTGAGGAAGGTAAAAAGTTCTAATTACCCCTGGATTATTCCAGAGTGGGTGGAAAAGCTTGATCAAAGAGAGATTGGGAGGGAGAGAGAGAAAGCTAGCAGTGAGCGAAGATTTATTGAATTTCTTTTAAAGAAGCTAAAGAATAGTTCATTTGATGTGACAAAAACAAGAACTTGTGGTATTTGAAATCCCAGAGATGTAAGTTGGATTTTCTAAGAAAATAGAGAACTGGGCATATTAGAAAAAGTTTATGTACACAAAAGTTCTCTAGGGTATAGAAATTAGCCTAGTTTACTTGCTAGGAAATGAAAATATTGACAACCTTGGGTCTCATTTGGGAAGAGTATGGAATTTGTACTCTGTTTAAATGATTGAGCAATCCATGCTAAATTCAAGGGAAGTCCAATACAGTTTTATTCAAATGAAACACAGTTTAAGTTAGTAGAAATGTAGATAGGGCCCTAACTAATGAATCTGTTGGCCTGGTTACTGTCGGTACCCTGCCTCTGTTTCTATACAGATTGCTTAAAAACAGCTGAGGAATAGATGAACTGGGTTATACATGTATTTCCAATTGTGTGTGTTTATGTATCTATATGCATGTAGATATACAGATACAATTTCAAGCTCACAGAAAAGTTGCAAGATTGTACAAAGAACTCTTGTTGATTTTGGATTATATATAATAAAATAATGATTGATTCACCAATGATTAACAGTTAGCTACAGTTGCTTTGGCATTCATTTTCTCCATATATACATTTTTTTTTCTGGACCACCAAAGGGTAAGGTGCCCCTTCACCTCTGAAGAGTGATGATTTCCTAAGAACAATGGAGTTCTCTTACTTAACCACAGCACAATGATCTAAATCAGAAATTTAACATTGCTATTCTTGACTGTATGACCACAGTCCATATTCAGATTTTCCCAATCATTCCAGTAAGATCCTTCATAGCTATTTTTTTTTTTTTCAGCACAGGAACATGCCTTACACTTAGTTCTCATGTCTTGTTAGTCTTAACATTAAACAGTTCTTCAGCCTCTCTGTTCCTCAGCTCACTGACAGTATAATATAGGCTGCTTGCTCGGCCGGATGACTCTCAATTTGGATTGTTCTTTGTTTCCTTGTGTTTGTTTCAGGTTCTGGTTTTTGGCAAGGGTGCCACAGAAGTGATACTGTGTCCCTCTTGGTGCACCTAACAGGAGGCACCTGATGTCTGTCTGTTTCATTAGCGTCTTGGTAAAGATTGTGTCCATGAGGTTTTTCTGCTGTAAAATTATTATCTGTCCCTTTGTAATAAATAAGTAGTTTATGGAAAGATGTTTTGAGACTCTGTGACTATCCTGTTCTTCACAAACTTTTGAATTGCATTTCTGTTTCATAAAAAGGATGATACAGGTGGATTCATTGGAGGGAGAAGGTGAAGTGATTTATTGCTTATTTTCTACCATTGTTTTTATAACCTAATTCTCTTTTCTCCCAAGGAAAAAAAAAGCCCCTAAAATATAAGCAAAGGTGTGCAAAAAAGTACATCAGGAAGTCAAAAGCCAACAGTTAGAGGGTATATATTATAGGAGCCCTGAGAGGAACTAACGTATTTGGAGAATGTGAATAGTATGGGCATGTGTGCTTTTTAATGAGCCAGGAAAGGGGGAAAAAAATCTCCTAATCAATACAGGGACTGATGTGTAGAATTTTCCTTCCCTGTCCAGTCAAGTTTGTTTATTTCTCAATATTTTTAGAAGTGCAACCCTTTGGCAACAGACCTTTAATCTAATACACAGATTGTGAGCCACACAGCGTGATTATACTTTGAAAGATGTCATATAACAACTAAAGTTAAAAGTTGCTTCTGATGACTCTAACTGAGCAGAATAGCTCCCAAAAGGAATATAAAATCTTGACTTCCATCTAGTAAGATAAAAAGCTGAAGGCATCTTAAGTGCCCAAGAAATGAAACTTGAGGTTGAAAGGTAAGGAAAGTAAGAAGTTATATGTCATTGTGGGGGGAAATAATTACCTGATCCAGTGGAGTAAAAACTGGTGAGAGACTGAGTCATTCCTTCCTTCTCCCTCCCCTACTTCAAAACCATAGTTTTTTTATGTTGTTGAAAGTCCAGTGGTTGAAGCAGAAATGTTTAGACAGGTGAGCAGATTAATGACCTCAGGTAGCAAACATTTTGCTATATAGTATGCTGGGAGAAATACTTCTGAATTTTGGATGCATTTAAATCTAGGGCAGTCTTACACATTTTCTAGTGAATATGTTCAAAGTAAGCTTCCAGCTGACTGTCACCCTGTCATTTCTCCCATTAAACCATCCCCAATTCTCACAGTAGCACATTGCTCAATGGGTATTTATCCAGGAGCAAGTTTTATGAATACAGGACCAAGCAAAACAAAGTATTATATCAGGCTTTTGTTGATCACAATAGATAGAAAAGTTGATCTAAACTGGCTCAAGCAAAATAAAAAGGAATGGGGGTAGGGGGAGGGAGAAAAAAGGAATTTATTGGTTGCTATAACTCAAAAATCCAAGGGCAGTTCCAGCCCAGCTCTGGTTTGCCCCAGAGGCCCAGACAGGCAGACTGTGGGTTCCCTGTTCTGGGCCTCAGGGCCTC